AATCTGAAATCAATTGTCTCACATTGTACAGCTAATCATAACCCAATAATTATAATAAAATAAATTTGAACTGAGCCACTTACCTTGCAGCTGCATTATTGTCATTTGATACTCGGCTAGCTTCTCATCGATGTAGTCCTGAGATTGATTCGCAATAATTTCGGCAGTCGATGGCCCGAACTCCTCCTCATCGTCGTAGACGACATAGGATCTGGGCTGTGGCGGCTCCAGGGGCACGCCCACAAAATCGATCTGATCCTGTCCGTGTTGTCTCGGTTGTGGTGGCAGTGGTGGTGCGCCGGACTGGCGCAGATATTGTGGCGGTGGCGCCGGTTGCGGATATGGCGGCTGCTGGTGCTGGTGCTGGTGCTGATGCGACAGCGGCGTCTGCCTGCTGCTGCTGTATGTAAAGTCCGAGCTGGGCGTTTGGCACACAATGGGCGAAGGTGTGGGTGACAGCTGGAACGAGCTGGTCGGCTGGCCGCCATACGAGTTCTGGTGCGGCAGCGGAGCCGGCCGAAAGGGGCGTGGCCCGGTGCCGTACGCATAGCTCGGCGGCGGCGGCTCGTACATGCCCGGCGGCTGATACGGTGCGGGCGACTGATTGCCGCCAGGCCATTGTGGACGTGGATGCGGCATGGTGCTGTTGATGCCGCTGGGTCGCTGGCCACGCAGCTGTGGCGCCGGCGACATGGCCTGACCATAGGGACGCGGTCCGGATATTATGGGCGGCGGACTGGGCGCTGTTGTCCACGGCGAGGGCGGACGATACAGGAAGGACGAGGGCGACGGCGAGGCGGGATTGGGTGCCCGTGGATTCCAGCCACGTGGCCCATTGCCATATGGCGGTGGCCCGGACATTTTACAATTTTCACAGCCTACGTTCAGCTACTTTGTGGTTTATTTTTTTCGATTTTGCGGTTTTGATATGTTGAATATTATTTTCGATCTTAACAAAGACACTTCAATGGGGTATTTAATTTTTGATTTGGTTTGGATCCGGGGGCACACTTCAATATAACATATTACACTGTGAGTACAGAAGAGATTGAGCTGGATGAGTCGAGCACTGAGAAGAGATTCGAGCGACTAGAGCTCAGCTAGTTCGCTAAGGTTGGTCTAAGTACGTCCCTCACACATACACACACGCGCATTAATTAGCCAATATAGCAGTTTGGCTAATCAATCACTATTTGCACTTAGGCACACCTGAGCAGCCAACCCAATTATGTCAGACATACAAAACACAAAATAAATCATGACCTATTCTAAAGTCTCTGATGAAATTGTCTGTTGAGTCAATTCTGTGCTAGTTTCTAACGGAAGTGGGCTATATGTTTATACGGTTTTTAGCACTCAATTCCCAATTCTTTTTCACTTTGCTCTATAGCTATATATATAGATCCATTCGACTTTTTCAAAAATGGTCGCTGACGCCATTCGCTAGCTTTGTCTTTGCCAATTTGAAAAAAAAAAAAAAAAAAATAGAATTTCTGTCACAGCTATAGAATATATAGTAGATACTTTAGTTGTCGCAGCATTAATACATCGAACCAATAACTAGTTTGTCTCTGTGGAGAATTAGCCAACTGTCAGCATTTATGAAGGTCTTCTCCAACTCGGAGCATCTCATGGGATGTTTATGCGGCTGAGTGCTCGATGGCATGTGGCAAGGACATAGATACTACACACGCCTAGCCAGCCAACCGTCCACTGATATCATTCATAAACATAGTCTGAGCAGAGAGCCAAAAGATGAAGAAGAAGCTCAGGAAAAGCCATTAATTTAAATATTAAATACATATTCATATACAAGTATTTTTGTTTGTGTTTTTGAAAGAACTTTTCTCTGAGGTAAAATGACTTTCACAAATATTTTCATTTTCCAACCTAATTGCATTTCAAGTGAATAGAAAAATGGCATTTCGAATGTTTATGAAAGTGAAATGGACGAGTTTTCAGCAAATTTTTGCAAATTAAAAAAAAAAATTGTATATTCACAGTAAACATTCGCTAGAATCATGTGTGAAGCTATTCGATATACAATATTAAACTGAATTGATTATAAATAAATCTGTAAGATATATTTAGATTTATATATACATATATATATATATAGTTATATATATTTGTTTTTTATTCAGATAAGAATAACTTATCTCAAATATGTATATACATATTTTTCGGTTAAAATTAGATATTTACTAAACAAATATTTATAA